CCAGAAGCAAAACCTCTTACTCCGTAGCTGTAGAGTTTTCGCAGCAGAATTTGGTGGTTTACTCGATCAAATGCCTTGGAGAAGTCCAAATAAACTATATCCAATGACTGTAGTGGAATTCTTATTAGTTTCGTTTATAATTCACATACGGTGATGGACTAAATGTGATTTCAAACCCGATTTGAAAGGAAGTTCCCAAAGTGATTTGAAAAAGAAAGATGGTGACCCGCTCTTTGAAGGGTATTATGACCAAGAAATACAACCCAGGATGAAGGTTAGGCGATCCGTTGTAAAAACAAGTAACTGATGCTAATTTCCGACGCTTTAACACAAGAAAAGCCGGGATATTCATACGCCCCCCCCTCCCCCTAGAACGACCAAATGTTCGTCTTGATCTGTTACTTTTTGGGAAACGGAGGGGTGGGTAGACGAATCGCCGGCGTTTCTAGACAACAACGATATTTCGTAAAGTTTAGTGTCACAAACCAGATTGCTTTCTAGGTTAGCTGTCGAACGAAATACCAACCACACTCCTAATCTGTGTAACCCAAACGTAACTGGGTTTGAACTAATACCGTAATAAAATAAAACAAAACGAGAAAACCCGATAAAAATCAGGCTTTATTTGGATGCCGATGAACCAAGTGTTGAAAAATAAGAGGAATCAGATTTATCAAATCTACTCCATTTCACCTGTTCGCCGAGCAGTTGGAAATTTGTTTGCAAACGTTTCATCATCATCATCATCATCAGTGCCTGTGAAGTGGCAGTCTTCTGCTTGTGTCCGTTCGTTTAAATATGNATCCAGATTCGGTCCAGAACTATTCTGGACTCGAATCGATGCTCTATTGACGAATGCCAGCAAACAGCTCATGCACTGCTCTTTTTATAGATCACTTGAAAAAGCACAGCACAGCACAGAGGCCCGCTTGTCTGTGCATTTCCATCCTATTCAAAATGTCACACAATTTCACCCCGTTCACTTCGTGGTGTTCGCATGTGAATCACATTGTGCAATGCACCGCGGTGCGCGGCATAATTATCGGGAATGGAAGCTCCAATTCTCAGACAACAGACAGGTACAAGCAACGGATATCATCTGACCGCGAAATACGGAGAGCTCGCGCGCACACAGACAGACAGAAAGAGAGAAGAGATCAGGAAAGGATACGCGGTTTGCAATCTCCATTTCATACGACAGAACCGGAACAATTTCAACACACTGGCTACAAAATTTGCTTACCACTTTTGTTGTTTCGTCGATACGCGAACTTATTTTGTACTGTCTGACATATCTTCACATTCGAAGTTCACTCATAGGACACCGTGGTCGGCAGCCTAAATCCCAATCGTGGGTCGCAACCAACTCTCGCCAAACTATACAGAAATGCGTTCTTTCCGACGTTTTATCACTCAGAATGTCTTTGTAAAAGCTTTATTTCATTGAGTTTGTCACCAGTTTACTCAATGTCTGTCTCTTGTAAGTCGAATATGTGTCAGGACGGTCAGATTTAAGAAAAATCGGTTAAAAAAACCATAATTTTGTTGCAAAAAACCCAACAGGCAAAAGCTGCGAACTGGGTGAACCTCCGGTCAGACAGTGTGCGTGGGTACGTTCGCTCAACCGGGCGGTCCGACATTTCCGATTGATCAACATTGGCCAACACATCAGAAGGCGATAAAACTGACCGAGTTTTCAGACATTTCCTGACACCTTTTTACTTTGTCGTGCATACTGTGCTGCACCTATTGTGCCAGTCCCCTCTTTTTTTCGGCTAGGGAATCGGAGGTGCCCGTTATATCTTGCTACGCGATCCAGTCCCACAAACCTGAAATTCAAACACGGCCACGGACTGAGCACACAGGACACTTCTTCGGCTTGAAGGCAATTTGTTCCGGCTGACCGTAGTCTGTCCCCCCCTCCGGTGTGTTCGCAAGCTGCTATCGGCCACAGAATCGGTCTTCAAAAGAGTGGACATCTTATTTACATCCCCACCACCCATTTGAACAAGTGCAAATAAATCGAAGCACAAACTGTTCAAAGTCACTGCCGCAAATGACGCCAATAGCGAGAATGGTTTTCAGTTCGCTTTGTACAACCATGAACCACGCAATTTCGTGCCCCCAGTACTTGTTGCTGCCCATTTGTATGAACAGTCGGATGAATACAGGAAAGTTGAACGTAGAGTCGAAGAGAAAATTAAGGATTTCAGTGGACGAGTGTTGCAAAGGATGTGAGAAGATGCACGAACGCCACTGTTTTCCACTCAGCCATATCACTCAGTGTCTCTAACCATCGGGTACGATCATCCCGAGGTCCCCAACCAGGGAGCCTAACGGAATCTATGTGACCGAGTCTCCTATTTGGGATTTTCATACCATCTTGTCAAGTCTTATTTGGACTACCCTTGGCTTTTCCACCCCGTATCTGCCTGAGCAAACCTCGCTCCGTGGCAATTTAATTGGTGACACCCTAACCAGCGTAGTCTATGAATGTTGACCACTCGCTCCAATGAACGACCCCGAATACCTAAATCTCTTCTTCTAACCTCAGCATCTCCTGTCCGGTTGCCCCACCAGATTTGTGCAATGCTGGGTAGACAGTGGTTTTCAAACACCGACAGTCTATCTTCATCTTGTTTTCCTAATGGCCAAGTTTCTGTATCGTATAGCAGAATTGGCCGAACTGTCGCAGCATATACTGTACTCTTCACAGACAGCCGGATGTCGCTGCAGCTCCACAGATGTCTCAAGTTGACAAATGTCAATCGAGCTTTCTGTATGCGAGCTGACATCTCATCAGCAAATCAAATACAGCTGCTCAAACAACAAGACTTATCCACTTGCTCTATTACTTCGCCAGTCAGAGTGGGGCTGGATGCTGGACCAATCCAGTCTTGTAGTAACATCTTACACTTCGAAGGAGCAAAACGCATNCGCATACAAAACATGGCTGCGCTGGCACTCAAGCTATCCAGAACAGCTTGCAATTTATCTAGCTCTCCACTTAGCAGCACAATGTTGTCTACATACTCCAGGTCAAACAGTCAGCCATCTGGGAGCAAATCGATGCCACTATCTTCGCATGAGAACAAACATTTTTCCATAATCAAATCTATAACATAATAAATTAACATAACAAAATAGAAAAGAAAATGGTATGGTTGGAACATAATGCTTCCGGACACATTGTACTAATAAATGATGTGGGCTTCTTTTTCAAATGTCTGTGTTGTGTCCCGTGGAAGTAAATAAACACATAAGCGGTAAATTTAGTAATTATTCCATTTCCAGTACAGAAACATAAACGTTGCTGGTCGGTAGGCCAATGAGCTAGCAGTGCGTCACCACGCAGGCAGGTAGGCGGACGAACAACTGACTCCAGCGTCACATGACATCCGAAAGCAGACGAGCAGGCATTCAAACAGTGACCGAGTCAACCAGCCCGGACAGTCCAATATTCACATCCGATTGGCTGAAGTCGATCGATATTGTAATAGAGCTAGTCTGTATGAGGTGAGGGCGTGCGTATGTGGTGGCAGACAGTATCGGCCAATCAATCGATCAATCGATCCGGCCACAGGCATACATAACAAAACAGACCACCATGTGCATTCAATAAAAATGAAGTGAGATTATTATCATTCTTACCATTATCGTCCTGTCGTAAATTAAAGCCATTAATTATGAAAAATGTATTTCAAATAAAGCAAGCTAAAAAACAGTGTGTGTGTGCGCGCGCAAGATTATCAATCACTGCAGTCCCGATGAAAATGCACCCTAGTCAATTTTCAACAGGGGGAGAAAACAGTAATGTTCTGTGAGCATGACGATCAGCAAAAAACTTATGCATCGGCTTATCAGTGTAATAAATGTTAACAATAATGCATGAAAATTTATTGTTTTGTGACCATCTCACCCCCAACCCATTGTGAATGACTGCAACCAAGCAATTATAAGTCTCTTTTTGTGGTTATTGATGCTAATCTCCATTTTTGATTCAATAAAAAAACACTAACAGGCACTTTCTTTGTGGAGCAACGAATCCTTGTGCTTGGCCAGCAATGGAATGAACAAAAATGCAAGATGACAATGGATCACGTGATCTATGAGACAGCGGTGATGTTCCACGCACGATCTCATCTGACCACACAACTGCCACGTGTAAAGTTCAATCCAGGTGAGCGAGAGAGAGCCTGGGGGGAGGGGCAGAGAAAACTTTCATGTTTGAGCCGTAATTTGCTGAACGTATTTCAACTAAGAATCTTCCATCCGAGTGTGGTAGAGACAACGTTTGTGTCCTCTATCTCTCTGCCTGAAGTCACTTACCATGAAAAAGTTATGGGTTTGATTGTAGCAGATTTTTCACATACCGACATACATCTATCGTAAATGGGCCCAGTGAAACAGCCTGAACAACCTCCCGATATGCAAATAGGTAGCATACTTGCGTTCTCTCAGTTTGATCTGTTTAAAGAGAGTAATAGAGGATTATATTCAAATTCAAATGGGAATTCGTCGTGTACATTAGCAAGTAAAACGTAAACTAAAAGGTTAGCAAGCACGGGACCTGGTTGTTTGTCATCAGCAGTGCGAATTCATCGACCCAAATACGGATCGAACAAGGTGGCCGGGTGGATGGCGTGCTTGCGTTCTGCCTGTGAGGTCCTGGGTTCGATCCCCAGTTGGGTCGATGGATTCGCGCACTGTTCGGATGAGACCGAACCAGGTCGAGACAGCTATCCAGTGCTTGCTAGCCTTTCAGTTCACGCTTCATTTGTCATTTTTACACGACGAATGCTCATTTGATTTGTTGAATTACCTTTTTCCTGTGTACGTTACAAGCATATTGAAGCACGGATGGGAATGTACTAGATAGTTTAATCGAATTATTCCAAGATGGACTGATTGTTAGAATACTTGCGTGTGTTCCTGTCATCAATCTGGTTGATTCCTCTTGATGCCTGGATACCCTTGGGTTAAGCAGAACTGGATGCTACCAGGCGCGTCCCCAGGTTGTAGATAGCGGCGGGAGATACCTTCACCGAAGAAGTTTAACTGTGAATAAGTTGTGGCGTACCGCAACAAATAAACCGTCGCGAACAAGCGGCGGTGGCACTACCAGGATGTGGTTAGGTTTCAGGCTGGCCGCATGGCTCCTGTTTAAGAGTCACATAAGCCCAATGACGCTGTTGTGACAGAGGTCGATGTGATTGGCCTTTTAAAACTGAAGTCACTGATCCCCCTCCACTTCTGAGGCGAGGGATTACTTCCTGCGGCCTTGTAGTTCGCTCTTGATTGTGCAAAGGCTAGAGGTGCACCCTCAAAATAAAAAACGCCGAGTGAAGCTAGGGACGTCTCTCTTACCAAACTCCCAAGAAACTTCATGATCATGTCCGGAGCCCGCTTATCCTTTCCAAGGATCCAACTACAGTCTGAGGAGCGGACTAATTCAGGTCGATGCCCACCTATTTGTGTAATGTAAAATTTGTGTTGTTCGTTGCATTTCCTAAAACTCGGTCGTCCTTTAGCCTCTCAGTAAGTTCAGTTCATGGTAATCACCTTAACTATTACATCTCTGGTCTGGCACACACGTATATTACCATCGAAACGTATTTCATTCTCGTCCGTAGAACCTTTCTCAGCTTCCCTCACCGAATGTGCCGTGTCTCCGAGAGCGGACTGGTTAAAATTTAGACAAATAATTAGAAAATGCAAAGGTAACTCGCCTCTATTGTTAATTTTAATTTCGTTGCCTGTAGATCCTCTCTTAATTTGATGAGAATTCTCGAAAAAAATCGATTTATTTACCATTACTGTAAGTGCCCTGACACTCCACTTTGCAGGTATTGTTCCTCTTGTGGCCAACGAAGTCGGTTATTCCACCGATCTGGTGACCTTCGGATCAAATTATCCCTGTCCCCGTACCGCGGTTGTGGGACGCACCGGAGCGACCACTATTCGCGGACTTCCCTTCCACACACATCAAGAATGGTCCAAGTGGTTGAAGAAGCACGGCACGGCCAGTCTGTCCGGTCAAAACCTGGCCCGCGGCACACTGATTGCATTCCCGAACGATCGAGCCTGGAGTGTTCGGCCGGCACAAAAATCCATTGATATGAGGTACGTTCCAGTATTGACCAATTCAGATTGGGTAAAACTTCTAATCATACTTTTAAAATAGCGTTCCGTTGGAGGAAACGATCAATATGAGGAGTATAGAAGTATCCCATTGCTGTCACGAGGCTGACAGTTCACACTTTGAGCGAATGATCAAATAGATGAAGACTACCACGTTTAGATAGTGAATGTTTGGATTAGCTCATTCGATTTTTGACTCAGGCACCGCGGCACTGTTGATGATATCGGTTGTGGGTTTCGCTCCCTGGGGAGTTCGTTTATTCCCCACCGTTTGTGGGCATTTAAATGCAATGAAACTGTTTGTGATAACCGACAAAGAGCACTGGACAGCTGCTTCCTGTCCTGTTTAGGACTCGCCAGTGGTTCGAGTCCTGAGAGGGATAAAAAAAGTGCGCGCTGATGATGAGTCTCAAACAGGACAGGACACAGCTGTCCAGTGCTCTATCTGTCGGTTATCATAACTATTCTCATCGCATTTAAACTACTACGTTTAGACATTAGCCCATTAGACATTTTCGTCGGCCCCGGTGCTATTAAATAATGAAATGATGCATGCGAAGAGGGTAGTAGTAGATAGTGTGAACCGATTTGCGATAACCGATTCTTTGGAGTTGCCATATAACTTCCAACTGTACTTGGACAGAGCATCAGATCTGCATCAACCTCTGGGCATATGAAAGGTGTCAGTACGTGTTTCAAACTCCTCCGGAGCTAAGATTTGATCTTATCCTTGACGAACCGATTATGACAATTGTGAATCAATGTAGGCCACATTGAGCAATTATTGTCTGGTACGATTTCACTGCACTGGAACAGCCAAATATTTCAACTTTACAATGGTGGTTGTTGTAGGTTCCGGATGTGGTGGTCCGTGGTTTGCTTGTCCACAGCTGTACCACGCCTATCCTATCGGGGCCTTATGTGGTTCACCACTCCGAGTCCCGGGGCCTAGATTGCCGGTTAAAATCACTGGACAGCAGGTCTTCGTGACCATGGGGCTTTTCCCGTCTTCTGTTTATCACACGAAAGTGTGTAATTAAAAAAATCTGTCTGTCTGTCTGTCTGTCCTCAAATCAGCTGACTCACATTCCGGTCTACGTGTCCGATTCCGTGCTGAGCTTTGATCATCTGAGATCAGCACTGAAGGTTAGTTATGAAGGTGATCGATTCACAGTGCGTGACCTCCGCAACTTCATCCTGACACAAAAAACGATGGGCTTCCAATGACAAGCAGTCATAACAGAATAGTTTGACATTCTTCGTGATCTAGTGCACGTTCAAAACCGGGCCTTGTTCCCAAGGGTATCGTGTTGTCGGAACCGTGATGGAGTTGTTCTCATTAGGTAGTGGGGTGCAGTCGGTTTGGTCATACAATATATTGAAATCAATTCACCTGGTGACAAATATATGCATACATTATATATATATATATATGTATATATTTGTAGTAGTGGTACGCACTGAACACGAAATACAAATCAAGGACGTCACGTAAGCACTGCATCACACCGATACTTGCACGTAATGTCCCACGTAATCGAGATGCGAGGAAAATGCCACAGGGGTAGTAGTTCATTTATTGAAAGAAATAAGGGGGAATAAATAATATATACAAAACAAGCTCATTGGTCATCCGGGCGTCTGCCAATCGCATTCTAGTATTTCTACCATTCTGCAGCTTCTCGCTTGTTCGCACGGTCTCTGATTGGCTGGTACGATAGACCTATGGTATGTAGTCCAGAAGCTGTGGCACGCACGCGCTTTGTTGACGTCACTCGTGAAGCTTGATTGACCTCAGTTGTTCTAAAACTTTAACGTGTCGCTCCATGGTATACGTCATCTCGCACACCGGGATCAACGGCACCAACCCAAGATACCCACCATCGACCATACTGTGGCTTTCGGAGGCAGTGACATAGTTTGATGTTAAATGATATTACGTTATCACCGAGGGTTCGTTGCCTGAAATGTGTTGTTTTCCTTAGCATAAACCACTAAATGAGAATTTTTGCTCTATGAGGAAATGTGTTTGGGAAATTCACAAAGTTCTAAACCATTTCTCTTAGTTTCCACGAGTAAGGGATCACAAAAGTTGGCCACATGCATTCCCGTTTGTGTTGCTGACTGAAGCTGTGCGGATTTTTCTCACCACATTCTCCTTCCTCTTATTGAATGCCTTGTAAGGACTCCGTTTTGTCGCGTTTCACGATACACCTACGTGGATCCGGACTATGAGTTCACGGACCAGGAAACCGCGCATCATCGGGCACACATTCACCCCTATGCCCAACTGATACGGGATCACGCGGAATACACCAGGCAATTCTCACGTGATACCACCCTGGCTCGATGGGAGAAACCGCCGTTCTACGGTCTGATTCCGTATATTGCCGAACCGGAAGAGAAACCGTTACAACTATCCGAGATCAAAGAGGCAAAATCAAGTGAGCATGCTCGCTTCTAAAGCATCATTATCTTTTTGCTCATTCAGGAGATATTTACAAAAATCAATAAAAAAACTGTTAACAATGACTAACCTGGCAAAAATCAGTGGACACTGTTTTTGGGAAGGCCTTGAAGCAAATAATAGCAAAAAAACTGGAAAAGGGTTTTGATCGTCCGACGTGCGCTAAATCGCCTCATCCTCCGAATGTGTGAAGTATGCCTGATGCCATCACTAAACGACATTTGATAATGTATTATTGCTCGTTCTTCATGTGGATACCGCTCACTAGTTACTTACTTATTCAGTAATATTAGCTTTCAAACGATTACTTGATTTCATCACAAATAAAATTATGCTAACGATTTTCCCGAGAGAAATCTGTTGTGATTCAAAAACTATCAAGATAACAAAAAGATGACAGAAGCACTGAGAAGAATTGAGAACATTGAGGCGGGTGATAAAGTCCGGAGTGAATGCTGTTTACTCCAGGATGATTGACATACAATTATGACAATGGAATCTGAAGTGCATGGCTTTTATTCAGAGCCATTTCTCACGAGTTCTGATACACACCGGTCAGTTTGTGAGATACAAACAAATAGGGCGGACGTTAAGGATGCGTGCCCCCTATGTAATTTATGCAATTTTAATTCAGCTACTAATAAGTGGTATTTAAGAAAAAGACACAAGTCACCTATTTCAAAGTCTTAAAAGGTAAAAATATATGATAATAGTAATAAAAGACAATAGAGATATGAAATTTATAAACGGATAGGACTACAACAAAATGGTGAAAAATTACAAATTTACAGGGATAACTGTATATAATGGGTGCCTGGAAAGTTAAAATTTCATCGGGAAATGTTTCATATGATAAATTGAACCATAATCTGTATTGTACCTCAAGAAGATGGTCCCAAACCATTTCACCTACGGAACCCTCAGTCCTGCGGATAATCAACACCTAACAAACACTCGATCTGCTCCAGAAAATTGTGCAGGTTGAAGCGGCCCGTTACCGTGTCAAGGTCACAAAATAAAACAACGACCAAAATCAACTTTTTTATAAATAGCCAGGACAGCTTAGTTATGATTTATTATGATAGAAAGAAATAACATATTTTTTTAAAACGTCGCAGGTAAGCGAATGTGGCCTGGAGTGTTAAAAGGGGGAGGGGGGACATACATCCTTAACGTCCGCCACAAGTACAACCGACGTGTTAACTTGATGGTAGTCTACAGATCTTGGCCGATCACAAATCACTCAAAACGAGAAAGGTGGTCGATGGAAAACTTTCCACAGTTCACGGTGTTGTATCCCGTAGCAGGAAATAAATAGACAAGCGCTGAATTA